ATCTATGCGTCAGAAGTGCCATTTCCCATGATGCATTTTTATGGTAGTAAAAAAAACATCTGGTTGGTCTTTGATTGGGATTTGCAGGGAAAAACAAGATCTCTGCACAGACATTGAGACATATCACTGGGAATTTTATGTATTTTAAAGGGTCTGAAAACATATTTTCTCAATCAGCTTCTTCCTATGGGTGATTGTTCTACAAGAATGGGGAATTTTGGTTAGTTTTGGTTATTTCACTCTGAAGTTTTCTCTGTTTGTTGAGGTGTATATACCTGCCACATAAAAAGAGGCAGAAAATTGTCTGATGATGTTAATTTTAAGTTACATTACGTGTGTAGGTTAGGAATTTGGCATAAACAGCATTACTAATCTTGAGACCTATTTTCTTGTATACAGAATTGGAGCAGAGATCAGAAATGCCATAATGATCTAACTGCAAATAAAGAATCTCCAACAATGCCAGTGTTGTCTTCAGTACACTGAATATTAGGTTAACAGAAGAACATTTACTCAATTATATTAGGTTACTTAAGGATAAGCATACAGTACAGGCCAAAAGTTTGGACACACCTTCTCATTCAATGCGTTTTCTTTATTTTCATGACTATTTACATTGTAGATTCTCACTGAAGGCATCAAAACTATGAATGAACACATGTGGAGTTATGTAAGGTGAAATAACTGAAAACATGTTTTATATTCTAGTTTCTTCAAAATAGCCACCCTTTGCTCTGATTACTGCTTTGCACACTCTTGGCATTCTCTCAATGAGCTTCAAGAGGTAGTCACCTGAAATGGTTTCCACTTCACAGGTGTGCCTTATCAGGGTTAATTAGTGGAATTTCTTGCTTTATCAATGGGGTTGGGACCATCAGTTGTGTTGTGCAGAAGTCAGGTTAATACACAGCCGACAGCCCTATTGGACAACTGTTAAAATTCATATTATGGCAAGAACCAATCAGCTAACTAAAGAAAAACGAGTGGCCATCATTACTTTAAGAAATGAAGGTCAGTCAGTCCGGAAAATTGCAAAAACTTTAAATGTGTCCCCAAGTGGAGTCGCAAAAACCATCAAGCGCTACAACGAAACTGGCACACATGAGGACCGGCCCAGGAAAGGAAGACCAAGAGTCACCTCTGCTTCTGAGGATAAGTTCATCCGAGTCACCAGCCTCAGAAATGGCAAGTTAACAGCAGCTCAGATCAGAGACCAGATGAATGCCACACAGAGTTCTAGCAGCAGACCCATCTCTAGAACAACTGTTAAGAGGAGACTGCGCAAATCAGGTCTTCATGGTCAAATAGCTGCTAGGAAACCACTGCTAAGGAGAGGCAACAAGCAGAAGAGATTTGTTTGGGCCAAGAAACACAAGGAATGGACATTAGACCAGTGGAAATCTGTGCTTTGGTCTGATGAGTCCAAATTTGAGATCTTTGGTTCCAACCGCCGTGTCTTTGTGAGACGCAGAAAAGGTGAACGGATGGATTCCACATGCCTGGTTCCCACTGTGAAGCATGGAGGAGGAGGTGTGATGGTGTGGGGGTGTTTTGCTGGTGACACTGTTGGGGATTTATTCAAATTTGAAGGCACACTGAACCAGCATGGCTACCACAGCATCCTGCAGCGACATGCCATCCCATCCGGTTTGCGTTTAGTTGGACGATCATTTAAGACTGTTGGAAAACCATTTCAGGTGACTACCTCTTGAAGCTCATCGAGAGAATGCCAAGAGTGTGCAAAGCAGTAATCAGAGCAAAGGGTGGCTATTTTGAAGAAACTAGAATATAAAACATGTTTTCAGTTATTTCACCTTTTTTTGTTAAGTACATAACTCCACATGTGTTCATTCATAGTTTTGATGCCTTCAGTGAGAATCTACAATGTAAATAGTCATGAAAATAAAGAAAACGCATTGAATGAGAAGGTGTGTCCAAACTTTTGGCCTGTACTGTAGATTTGGGCCTTTTGAGAAAATAATCCAGGCCGGAGCTCCAGAAGCCAACCCCCCCCACTCTGTTGTTTGCTAATGTTGTCAGTTTTATCAATCAAGCTTGATCTGTCATATAAAGATTTGTAATGTGCTTGTGCATTACTGAGTGTTATACAGTAACACAGTCTGCGGTGAAACCTGTAAGACTAGGAGATATCGCATGTTCTCGCAAGCATACTTGAATGACTTGCTCCCATGTTACCGGGGTGTTCATTAAAAATATAGCTCTGGCTGAGTTGCATTAAGCCTCCAGTATAATCTTTTTACAGCTCTATTCACACAGACCTGATGAAGCAAATTAACTAAGTTAAACTCCCAATAAAAAACAATTAAGAATGTGTGTTTTTCTCTGAAATTTCACAGATTCATTCCTTTAAAATGACCTGATGTTTTATACCACAATATATACAAAACAGGTTGACAAAATAACATGAACAGTACACAAAAAGGAACTTAAATCACTGCCAAATATGATCTGCGTCATATCAGGTTACATGCCAGTTACCAGTCTAGTCTGTCACAGTGAGTGTATTGTACTTTATGTTTTGCATATCACCATGTTTGCACCGATGCTCAGAAATGCGCCGCATATTTTATTATCATATTGCTCTATTGAAACAACAAAGATGCTTGTTACTCAGAATTAGGCTTTTCGCACCTGAAAGCTCTTGATGACGTTAGCGGTTGGTTGGTGGCTGGTTGAGACTAGATGTGGGTTGAAGTGTGTCCACCTCTAAGCCTAATTACGATGTGTGCTTGAGTCACCAGCTTGTGTCTATACATCACTGCTTTAGTCACACAGCGGCTTCTGAGTGACTGAGTAGAGTGTGCATAGCATGTGACTCTTGTAGAATTAACTGAAATCCCCCCTCCTCCCTCTGTCTTTATCTCGCCTCTATCTTTTGTTGATGCCTCACAGATATTTGTCTTCAGCTGGAAGGAGACCTTAAAGGAATACTCCCAAAATGTTTATATGAGTTACTCACCCCGTGTTACCTTAAATTCATCAAGAAAACAGTTTTTCTCACATGCCTGTGGTGAACGAAGACTCCAAAAGCAAAGAAAATTCTTGATGAATTTAAGTTATAGGGATCCACATGTAACAACAGCAAAACTATATCAAAACATCAGTTTACAAACTCTCACACAATCTGTGCAGTGTCCAGCACTTCCCAAACAGACAGTCCTTTCCCACAAGGAACTGAGAGGATCTTGCTGAACATGGGGTTTGCTGGTCTGCCTTGTCAGTTAGTTCCTTGTTGTTACCGTGTGACTTTGGTGTTTTACAGGTTAGTTTGGATTCAACAAATTCATGCAATAACACAAATGTCGACAAGTCGAGGCAGCAGTAGACCAGCAGCTTCCATGTTTAGTGAGCAAAAATGAAAAAGGTTTTTGTCAATGGAGTCTGGCTTTGAAGAGAGCATAGATAAGTTTCACTTTCAGGTTTCCTTATGGGAAAGAGCCGTCTGTTTGGGAAGTACTGAGCATATGACTGGATAAATGAGACTTGGATTATACAGCATGAGTTATGTGAGAGTTTCTAAACAGATGTTTTGATATGGTTTTGCTGTTGTTAAATGTGGTCCCCTTGACTTCAATTCTTCAAGAGTTTTCTCAGTTTTTGGATTCTTTGCTCTCCGTAGAGTAGGCTTGTTGAAAGTCGGGCCAAAAGTGGCCCATAGACCAATTAGAAACAGCCCGCAGCTTGCCTGTCAAAATATGCTACATGTGGCCTGCCACACAATATTGGGTAATCAAGCAATTTTATTTTGTATTATTTCCATTCCATTTTCATAAACAGATGGTAAACAAGTTAAAGAATAGTTACCTTGCAGCAGACATTTCCTGCTTGGTAGCAGACATTGCCATATAGAAAAATGTGAGTCAACAGTGAGGGCCGCCGCTTTCAGGATCGGTGGAAAGTTTACTATTTTTTCAGTGAAAGATGAAACAGCTGCATTTGTCTCATTTGTATGTGATTTTTTTTTTTTTTTATAATAACCCATATGTTGTGAAAAGCAGCTGGCCTCTCGGTATTTTCACATAACTAATTTGGCCCCCATTCAAAAAGATGCATATGAGAAAAACAAAGTTTTCTCCAGGAATTCAGCATAACACAGTGTGAGTAACTGATAAACAAATGGTCACTTGTGAGGTGAAGTATTCCTTTAGTCTCTCACATCCCCCTGTGGGTTATGAGTGTATGTTTATGAACATGTTGGCGACAAAAGGCACCTATTCTAACTAAGACTTTTGAATTTAAAAAAAATGAGTCACCAGCACAGACTCTGCTCAAAAATATACCTGATGGATAATTTCTGGGCATGACACACAAAGCTAAAGTGGCTTCCACCATGATACAGTCTGGTATGGTACACCAATGATTCATTGTGTGTCTGAAGTGTGGTGTAAGCATGTGGACGCATATACTCAAAGCATGCACATGTAGCTGAGTTGCTTATTCACACTAGAATGACGCATGGGGTTAAGAGGCCTGCTGAAGCCGCCCAGACAGGCTGCGAACACACACATATATACAGCTCAGTGTGTGATGCTCCTGCAGTAGGATTATGCAAGTAAACCTGTGAGTTCAATCTGCGGCTGGCTGCTAATACTTTCTAAAGAGGTTTGCAGTGGACAACTCCATTCTGGGCGGCTAATACTGCATGTAAATAACCATGTCTACAGCACAGTAGAGGCGATCACAAAACTTGTAGTAAAGAATCCAGATATTTGTTGTTTTTGGAGGCTGTCGCTGTTTGGCAAGGAAATACCCATCTTATTGCTGTATGGATCCCTAAAAAGTGAAAGAGGAACATAAGAGAGAAGACTAAAGGTGGGATAGACAGGTTGTGCAAGAAAAAGAGAAATATGCCAAAATGCTCCTGGACATGAATGGTAAAATGGTAAGAAGTGTTCACAGCTTTTCTGTTTTTGCTTTATTTGATTACTGTGTTTGGTTTGTGACAGTGACTCACATGTTGTCTCATCTGTTGCCTGCAGGTTTCAGCTACAGAAGAATGTGTCGGACCTATGAGACTGACTCAAGAGCCCATTCAGGTAAGAAACAGATTCTTAATGTTTGGACTCATGTTACTTTTGTAGTGTTTGAGGGACTCGATGTTGAAATGCAAGAGGCTGATTAGAAATTAAGAGTTTGTGTCATATTTTTTGTTATCTGTGCAGTCAGTTAGATAACGTTTGATAACTGCATATGACCAGGTGGAGTTTCTTCAACACCTTTTCGTGAATGTACAGCTGCAACTAATGGTTATTTTCATTATCAGTTAATCTGCAGATTATTTTTATGATTAATCCATTAATCATTACAGTCTATGAAATACCCCCCAAAAAATAAATGCCCATCAAAACTTTACAGAGCCAAAGGGAACACCTTCAGATATCTTTGTTTTGATCCACCAAAAGTAAAAAAAAACAACAACAACAACAACAACAAAACAAATATTAATTTTGCATTGATTTATGACAAAGACAAGCAGCAAATAATCTCATTTGAGAAGCTGGAGTCTGAGTTTATTTGTTAGCTTTCAAGCAAAAATAGTGGAAACAATTAATTTATTATCAAAACAGTTGCTGATTGTTTTTCTGTCAGGCAATCAATTGATGAATTGTTTTCGCTCTACATGGATGATAATTATGATTTTAGTGATTTTCCTAGTTTTTGCCAAATTATGTAATTTTTCAACAAAATATTCTTATGTTACTATATGCTTTGTTCTCATCAGTCAAATAAAAATCTAACACTTAATACACAGCTATATGAATAGGAAAAATGTACAAATGCAGCTGTCCCACTCTCCAGTGTAGGAGCAAATGTAGGAGCAAGCAGTTGTTTGTAAAGTTTTTGTTTACATACACTTTGGCATTTAAACTAGGGAGTATTCGACAATAAGACTGTTTGTATTCTTGCACTATTTTCATGGAGATTTTCTGCTAATATGATCCTTCTCCTGGGAAAACCAGTTACATCAACTTCCTAGTGGTAACGGGACTTGAAGTATGTTAGAAACAGTGTTGGGCTTGTGACTCTAAAAATGTAATATATTACTCATAGTTACTCTTTGCAAAAGAAAGAATATTAATTTACTTATTTCTCCCTGCCAACAGTAATTCGTTACACTTACTACCAGCTAATACTACATTACACTTTACTACTACTTATATTACTTTTCTGTTACACCCCATAAAACTGGCAATTGCAAATCCCCCCAAAATTCAAATGTGTGCCTCTGTTTAAATTTCAGGGTAATTGCAGGAAAGTTTAGCCAAGACTAGACAGTGTGCGAATGTTGATTTGTTTTTTTTTTTCCACCTGGGGGTCTTCACTTGCTTGTGACTGTTATGTTTTTTTGAGGCTCTGCCTCAAAGACGGAGAGTCACTCATGGACTAAAATTTCATCCACAATATATCCAGCCACAAGCTTTCAGTTCTTCTCTGTAGCCTGCAGCTGCCCATAAGTAAAATCTAGTTTTGGCTGTTCAGCCAGGGCTACATCCGCAGCCAAGGAGGGCTCACCTTTAGTGGGGTGTATTTCCTGGAGCTTCACGCTGTCATGCTGTTCATAGTAGGTGTTTAAGACCAGAAGACCAGAGGACGTGTTTTCACAGTGGAAAGAATTTTAGTACAACTACCTGCAGCAATAGTGTTCTTGTCGTCTTTCCACCTGCCATCTTTCACCTTCTATCTTGTTTTGCAGAAGAATGTTTACATAAGCTAATAATACAATCTTAAAGGATAGGTTCATAAATTTTCTGTCTTAAAACAAAAGTCAGGTGCCCATATAAACACTGCAGGAGGTTTTACTTGCTTGCTTGGATCCCTTCATAATGTGATTCTAATGTAGGTGATGGGGGGACAAAATCAGAAGGTTGCTAAGCTGCAGACTGCCACAGACCAGTGTTTGACAAAAACAAAACCAGGTGTTTTTTTCAGTGACAAATCGTGGCATATCCAGTTGTGACTGTGGCACCATAGCCAGGTATTTTAAGCCAAAACATGATTTTTACCTAACCATAACTAAGTGGTTTTTGAGCCCTTAACATAACCACACATTAACCACAGCATTGTTGAAATGAAAAGTTTCAACATACTGTATCCACTACATCACTGGTTGCCAACCTGGGGGTCATGACCCCCCCTAGAGGTCATCAAAGTACCACAAGGGGTGTAAGAAAACTTCTTTTTTTTAATATATAGGCCCATATATAATTAGGAAAACTCTATTAAACTGTTTATTTTAAAGTTTATTCAAGATATAAACTTCTCACAAAGTCTCACAGGACAAGGGCACAGTGAAGAAAAATAAAAAAAAACATGAAACAAATACGTAATACAGAGAATTGTACTTGTGGTCAAGGCTACTGTACAAGATGCTACCTGCTACTCAGTTATTAACCAATAAACGCACTCACACATTGGGAGGAATTTTGGGTCTAGTATCTTACCCAAGGATACTTTGACATGTTAACTAGAGGAGCTTGGGATCGAACTGCTGACCCTCCACTTAATTGGCAACCTGCTCTACCTCCCAAGCCACAGCCACCCTGTTACATAATAATGTAAAAATGCCACATATCTGTGGTTTCCAGGAACCCACGATGTCAACATTTATTGTGGCGACCGGCTTGACAAAATCCAGCCCTTCTTCTTGTGATGTATTTGAAAGTTTATGTGGAGCTAAATGAAGCTTCAAGAGGCTTTCCTCCAAGTCTTTCTAATACATTTCCTCCTGGAGAATTTCTCCTGTAGTTTGTGTTGATTTAAGACATAGCCTCTCAGTAAAAACTATGGATGGATTTGGATCTCTCCAACACTGGAATCTACAGTGTTCAACCATATTACAGTGTATGACCTATTTGCTGCATGGCTTTGAGGGGATATCCGATTTGTTGCCTGCAGACACCCTGTCCATACTCTGTGGTATCAGTCCTACTGGAATGTCATGTCCCCCCTCAAGAACTCTAGAATATTGCAAGGTTAGGCAGGGCTGGGTTAGGGATTGTCTGTGCTCATCCTCTGGTTAGGGATTAGGCCATGTGCTTGTCAGATTTATCCTTATGTAACAAAGAAACTAAGAGTTCTTGGAGGTCACCAGCTGGTTGAGATGCAGGTACCACAAAGCATTCCTCTGTTCTGCCAGTTCCTACCTCAGGAATCAGCTACTTTTATGAGGTGCTTTGATTTAATTTGCTCGTGTTTGAGCTGTGCCGGTTTGACCGATCTCCAAGGGTTTCTGAGTTTAGCTCAGTTCCTACTCCAGTGCAGTGATGTGAGAGGCCTGGCATGCCACTCATGTTCATGCTGAGCTACAGTATCCTGCTCTATCCCTTCGCTCCAGGAATCTGTTGTAGCATGCAGGCAGGTGGAGGAACCAGGGGTTTTATTAAAAAGCCTTCTCAGACCTTGTCTCATGCCCCATAAAATCCTTAAAGTGTGCTCCTAAAGTTGTACCTCCAGCCCTCTGCTGGATCCATGACCTAACCCACCCCTCTCCTGCTTCACTCCTTCCACTAGAACAGAGAGATGTAAAGAGAGAGATAAAATGCTCTGCAGGAGAGAGTTATATATAGTGAGTTTTCCTTGACATTTACTGGTGCTGCCTCACAGCCCTGGAGAGTTTCAAGCTCCCCAGATACCTCCTCCTTCAGCTTATCTAATGATTCATGTGTTTCGCTCATTACACAGATAAGTGAAGGTACAATAACACACATGTTGTATGTTGTTATATTTCACATATGCAGTGCCTGCAGTGTTGATCTCGTGGATAAATCCAAAAGTTTTGTCATTCTGCAACGTTAACCTTTTAGTACCCACCGTTTTTCCTGCAGGATAACACTATGTAGAAAATTTACATGGATATCAACATGTAGTCAGAGCTGAAGCTACTACAGTTAATCAGTTAACAAAGCAACAGAAAATGAATTGATGAAAACATATTTAAGTCACTGGCTCAAGTTTCTGATTTTCTTATGTCGTTTTCACACCAATGACCAGGGTTGGACTGGAGTCTTTTGTCAATTCAAACCAAGCTGTTTGCAAAGCAAAACTATATTAAAACATTTGTTTACAAATTCTGACATAATTCGTGCAGTATAATCTAAGTCTTATTTGTCTAACCATAGAGAATATGTTATATATGCATATGCATGTGCTATGAAGGAAGTACTTCTTGAACAGACAGCTTTTTCTGATGGGAACCAAACTGAAAGTGAATCTTATCAGTGCTCTCTTCAAAGCCAGACTCCACTGACAAAAACAGTAATTTTAGGTTGCTGAGCACAGGCACCTCTGGTCTACCACTGCCTCAATCAGTTAGTTTGTGTTATTGTGTGACTTTGGTGAATCTGAACTAATGAAACTTGATGAAAGAAAAATTTCAGTTCTTGTCCTTCTTGACTTAAGTGCTGCTTTCAACACCACTGCTCATAGCATCCTTCTAAAGCGGCTCCATACCCATCTGAATATTTCAGACACAGTTCTAACCTGGTTCAAGTCCTATCTGACTGGAAGAGATATTGGTGTCCCTGGGTGAGATGGTGTCTTTTAAAATTGAGGTCAGTTGCGGTGTCCCCCAGGGGTCCATGCTGGGACCCACTCTTTTTAATCTGTACATTTAGGCTTTGGGAAACATCATTAGAGAGCATGACACTGATTTCCATTCCTATGCTGACAATACTCAGCTGTATATCTCATTCTGTTTAGATGATACAAGCCTAATTAAAAACTGTCTTGTGTGCATTATTATTATTATTACAACTATTATTTTTTTTTTTTTTAGTATTATTATCTTTAGCAGCTTGACCCTTCGCTAAGTCCGGCATTCGGATGCCGACTGGCCAATCATAACGTAGCATTGGCCCACCTCAGACCAGCGTCCAACAACAACACAGTTGTACTCTCAACCTGGGTTGCAAAGCAGACACTTAACGCAAGTTCACCCTTTCAAACTAAAAATCAACACTGGTTTAACCCTGGTAGAACCCTCAGTGTGAAAGGGGTATTTGTCTTCTAAGGTACAAAACTGAGTATCTGTAGATTC